TTTGACCGCCAGGGAAAAAAATCCCCATGATTTTCATCTAGGTCTATGGTGGAAAACATGTAAGATGTGGAAACCAAGCTTCGGGGAAGCATCTTCCACGGGTGCCTTAAATATTTCCTGGATTCTTTCATCCGCAGACCTTGAACAGATGGGGTCTTAAACACATGTCATGTGTTGCTTTTGGACGTTCAACATGGTACCTGTTAGTAACTAATCATCAACAGCACCATTTGTCATTGAAATGTCACTTATGTCCGAAAGCTCGCATGAAAAACCACATCCAGCCGATCAGGAACTATCCTTTGGAGGGCCTAGTAGAAGAAGCACCTTGGGCACCCACCGCCTCAGCCTATGGCGCCACGGCTACGCAGAAAGCGCAGGCCAAACGCTCCAGTTGGGTTATAGTTGGGTTATTGGGTTATCATGACTGGTTGGCGGTTTCAAATATCTTTGATTTTCCACCCTGGCCCTAGTTGGCATATTCTTGAGATGGGTTTTTCAACCACCAAGCAGATAATCTGGCGAAGCGTTGACCGAAGATGGTGATGGTCCGCAAAGAAATGTGGTGTTCGGTCGGACCAAAGCCCACATCCTTCATCGTTTTAGAATTTTAGATGTATCACAATCATTTTTTCGGTGATGTCATCACAATCATGTTTTGGTGGTGTCAAAAATGACACATTTCCACTTTTTGGGGATGCTAAATCCCATTGGATCATTAGGCCTGGCTTTTTCAACCACGCCCCAGTGACTTGGGTCCCAGCCAGGTTCGATGAGATCAGCGACACTTGGAGAGCAACCTGGGTGGATGTGGTGATTTCCTACAATGGGGTACCCCAATAGCTGGATGCCTTATAATGGGAAATCCTATTAACATGGATGATTTGGGGGTTCATTTTAGGACACCTCCAGGTTGTGTAAAAATGCGATGATCAGTCCGAAAGAGCTCTTCCCAGGTGTCCCTAGGGATGATATGGACGGCCAACATCTGCCATTTTTAGTCATTTACTGCTTTGTTTAAGTGGGATCCTGAAAGTTTGACTTCTGAATTGCTGCAGCAGGCGCTGAATCTTGCCTTGTTCACACTAGACCTGGTTTCACGAGTAGTCTTGAAGTTCGGCCGAACTTGCGCCGTGCGGGTTGTGGCTGTGGTAGAAAAAAGGACTTCGAAAGCCAGCAGCCGTGTTCCCCTATATATATTCAACCATTAAATTAAATGGTGCATGTTCAGGGTCCCGAATTTAGAATGTCCCTGTTTCTAGCAATCAGCCCCTAGACTCAGCTGATGTTGGATATCCAAGCTTCAATAATTTATAGCGTGATGAGAGATGATCCTTGCAATGAAAGCAAGCGGAATGGATCTGAATGGTACGGTAGTGCGTGCAATGGCCAGTCATGGCCAGTCAATGGTTGCTAAATGGTTACAAGATGGTATCCATCAATCCCATTTTGTCTCCACCTGCAGGAGCTCCCACCAATCCGGTTTCAGGCTCTGCGATGGGACTGAAGTACTGAACTGTGGTTCTTTCGGCCCAAATGAACCAAAGAGTTTCCATACATTAAATATCGACATAACGTACTGCTTGACTTGTGTTTGTTCTTTTGTTCTTGTTGGCTGACATGGAACCGGTGTAGGTTACCGCAAGAAGTGACCAATTGGCTTTAGAAAAACAGGATGACACATCCAGATGTTGTCTTCCCTGACCTGCAGTAGATTTGAATAAGAAATCGGACCAGGCCTTTGTGAAAAACCGAAAACAATCTAAAGATTGTGGTGGACACTCTGACCAATTTCTACTTTCATATATGTATATGTATATATACTTTCATACTTCGTAGTGGTAGCCCAATGAAGTAATGAACACCTTGACGATCCACACAACAAACCGCAAGGTGGAGGTGGCGCCGTGCCTGGCACGGCGGAGAGCCCAGCCCGGCCCAGCTGTGAGCCCAGCGGGACCCACTGAGTGAATCCCACGGAGGTTACCTGGTTTTTGGGTGAAGTTCCTGACAGGATGCCCTGCAAGACATCGAAAAATAATTCCCTTCCAATTCTCCAATCAGGGTGAAACCCATGGAGTTTCCATGGGTTAACTTTTGCCCAAGAACTGAAGGAACTGATTTAGATCCAGCATGATCCAGCTAGAATGGTTGGTTTGATGTTGTGAAGCAAGAATATTCAGTGGCGGGGAGTTTCCTGGTGAATCAGCAAGACATGCTTCGCCATCAGAGGCGGCAGTGGATCAATTCTTTGATTTCAAGTTTTGGTCTATATGACCTTGCACATTGAAAATCAAGGCTCTATTTGACTTTGACCCGTGCTCACAATTGTAAGCTGCCTTCTTCACTCTTCAAGTTCTGTCGCGGGTTTCTTCCGTCCTGTTCCTTGAAACGCTGGTTCTTCGTTCGTGGCGAACTTCCACGCGCCGGAACCTTAGTTCAATTGGCTTTAAGTTCACGTGACAGCCACTGACCCCAGCATTGCTCGCCGCCGTGCTCACACGTCAGCCGTGTCATGCCGTGTCATGCCGTGTCAGCCGCTTTGGGTCAAGATCTTGCGATTCTTCGGCTTCTTCGGCTTTTCAAATGGGAGGATTGGGAGGTGAATTGATGGAGTTGCCAAAGATGGCAGGAACAGTGGAAGCTCATTTATCTCATGCCCAAATCCAACAGCAGAAGCAATATTGCATCATGGCGCTGATTGGCGTATTTCTTTTTCTCTCCGTTCACTTCAACAACTCTGCTTTCGCCGTGACTGTTGCCGCTTTGGCATTCGGGTACTTTGCGATGGAGTCTTGGTATGATAACAAGAGAGAACTTCACCTCATCTCTACAAATAAGGAGTGCATGGCACAGTTGGGAGAAAAAGCAGTGGAAATCCAAAAGATGAAGTATGAGCAGGAGAGGATGAAATGTGAGCAGGAAAAGTACAAGGTGGAGATGCACAAAGACGAGTGCAACAAGGAGGTGGAGATCGAGAGAGCCAGGTGCAAGCGGCACGAGAGACGGACATGGAAAAGCAGAGATAACGGCGAAGTGACCAAAATTCTCGTCAGCAGTCAGGGTTCTGGTTTTTAGCCATGTTATCTCTATATTTAGCCAATTTAACATGCTTGTACCTGGGGCGTTGGGAGCAATCCTGGCAGTGATTCTTGGTACAGAGCGCTAGTTGCTTTTTGAACTGTACAGTATACAATAGTGTGAGATAGGAAGGATACAGAGGTTCGCCTGCCGAATGAAAAAGCCTTGTTGCGCCACTGGCAAAGAGCAGATTGACAGACCAAGTTTGGCATAGGCAGAGACAAGCAGATCAGAAGGGCAGTTGATTTGCTTCTTACCAATTGCCGTGGCTTGTGCTGAGGTTAGAAAGATAGTGCTGCAGAAGGTCTGTGTGCTCCAGTCTGCGGCTTTGAAATAACTACTTTGCCCCGGGGCATTTGCAAGTTCTGGGACTTGGTGGTCCCCAATCTGACCTCTTCGACCGTTGAAAGGAGGTCCGGGGTTCACCAGTCAAACACCAGACTTTTCAGTCGTTTTAAGTCCAACCCATGTTGGGGTGTGGAAGATGATGGCTCATATTTCTGACACATGTCATAGTCACACACATATATATATATGTATATATCTATACTACACCGCGTATATATACATGATTATATATGTACTGTTATACATAATTATATGATATTATATGATATTATATATAAATTCACGCTTGTGATGTTATGTGTTATGCAGGTGGATTAAGTGCATAGTTCGGACCCACAGATCTCGCTGCAATGATTGAGGGACCACTTTAGACATTGCCCAGGCAACGTCTCGGAAGCTACGCAACTCGCAGGTGGACAGAAATGGCGATGTCAGTTCCAAGCCCCGAAACCTCTTGGTTTGTTGTTTCAAACATGAGATTCACTTGGGGTATTTTGGGATGTGATGATGACCTATGATCACTTTCGTTTCGATGGGAGCAAATTTGGTGTGATAAGAAGGATGCCTCCATTTTGCGACAGGATCAAAGGACATGACTTTGGAGGAGTCAAACAACTAAACTGTCAGAGCTGCATATGACATGTATCGCCAATACATATCAACACATCCCAATACCTCAATATACCTCAATATTGTAAGAGAGAAACCCGGCTTCCAGTATCTTTTGATTTGGTTTGGCCAAAGCTACTACCAAGCTATTTGCCAAGATGATCACTGCCATGGCAAAGTTCAACCAACACAGCACTGCCATGGCAGGCACGGTGTCTACCCTGGCAACCGTGGTGACTGCGACCACGGAAGCTGCCACGGTGCCCACCGTGGTCCCTCCAGTTCCTCCGGTCCCTCCGGCGCCAGCCACGTTGAATACGACGAGCCTGGACATGGTTTGGAGCCCCAGGCTGTTGTGAAGCTTGATCCAGATATGGCTATGGATCAATACCTATTAATGCCATTTTTAGAGGGATGAACATCCATTTACCAGCTATTTTGATGTTCACCAGGGGTACAAGGTTTTGACACACTGCCATATTTTTCCAACTTTTGGATGACATGTAATAGCTTATACATGCTTATACTTCATATATTGATTCATATATCTTCATGTGTGGTTTTTCTTGGCCTGGTCCAAGAAATCAAGCAGTTGCGGAAGGCGCAACTCATTTCGGTTCAAAATCAGCCTAGCAGACATTCCAAATCTCATACACTGTTGGATGACACAATATGAAAGAGGGTGAAGTAGATGAAGGCGTATATAGCGGTTTGTAATTCCGTGTGTTCAAATGTCGAACCACGTTGACTTTCCAGATATGCATTGATTCAAGAGGGATCGGAGGTGCATGTTTGAGCGGATGTTTGATGATGTTTGAGCATCACAACCGATTCCTGCATAGCATTTGGGTTGATATGGGTTCGATTAGACCAGAAACACAGAAACACATGATGCTTTGCAAAGAGACACTTCTCCTTTTGCTTATTAAATTTATTAACCTCCATTCTCTTGTGCTTTCGCAATGGTCTCCAGTGAAGAGTGGCGTTTCACCAAACACGCCTGGATTGCCACGCTCTTCGCGGTGGTGACCGGCTATGCCGATGTGGTGAGTCTGGTGCGATACCAAGCATTCGCCAGCATTCTCACGGGGAATGCGATTTGGCTGGGAAGAGTGGCCGTAGATCCAAAGTCGGATGACCAACACACTGGCTGCTTGGTGGGATATCTTGGAACGTGTGGGATGTCTTGAATGGAATGTCGACTGAACGTAATTAGATTCATTGGGGGGGATATCAATTTAGTAGCACATTGCAGTATCACCGTATTTTTCTTGGGGCATCCCCAAATTCGTTAACAAGCGTTTAGTCTCATCAGAGGTTGATCTTAAGCTTACAAGTTGGATTTCAGATGGTGTAATTAAAGGCAAATTGAAGTTCGGCTCACCAATTTACCGCCCGATTCAGGTATATAATTTAATATCAACGGGAAAGAGGATTAAGTTTGCTTCAGCCAGCCAACCTAACCTAGGACTTAGATATCTTAGATGCCAAAGTTTTTTTCGCAACGGGAACTGGAATTTTCAGGACAGCGTTCGCATGCGTTTTTTCACGATTCATTTTAGTCGTTTCTTTCTCTCAGATACCAAAAATCGGAAACAAACCCAGCCTGGATTCCCGGATTCGGCCTCCAGATTTAGGGCAATTTGGGTGTCGAATTTGGGAAACACGACTTGAAGCCGACAACCCAACATTTGTTATTTGTTGGGGACACAAAAGCCCAGGGGCCCAGCTGTATTCGCAATAGGGCCTTTGTTGATGAAATGTCCGACACTGGATCTTTTTCTTGCGGAAACTTATCAATCTCTTGATTTCCCAAACATGACTTATAGGTAGAGGAAATTTAAATCTACATGTTCAAACATAAGCTTGACCTGATATAGTAATAGTATGTAATAGTAATATATTATGTCTTATGTCATATTATATATAGTATTATATATAGCATATACTATACATAATATACTATATATATTATGATAAATTGATGTAATTATAGTATAAAGATAGCCATCTATCAGCTGCGCCAAGGTTGGTACTACGTGGCCATTTGCGCCTCCTTCTCCCTGGGTTCCGTCCTCCACCGTATCTGCGAGTTGCGCTGGCCCAACCGTGGCGGGAGCATTGCAGCCATTCCGCTTGCGCTGTTGATGTCGCTCACGGAAATCGTCTATATGGCCACGGAGTGTCATTTGGAGATCAGTGGGACAACATGATGATTCGTTGAATAGGACTAGGATCTATTTGCCAAGATGGATGGTGGTTTCATTCTGGTGAATATCTGTAAATCATGATGATTTAGGTAGAGGGTTTAATATGGTTTGATACCAAATAAGACACAAACTTTGTGAATTGTTGCTTTTTTTGTTGGATCGTGTTTTTATTGGGATTGAGATGTCCTGGCAAGACATTGTCGGGTCATACTCCTGCCCTACATCTCCATGGGTTTTTCCCTGCTATCAGCTATCGGATAACAGTACAATCAACTGATTGGTTTCTGAAGAGTTGATTCACATCGGCCCATTTTCAATCTCCTCGAGCCAAGGGTAAAGGGGCACCAGATATGACCTGAAACTTGAGGCAGTTTCCACGAGAGCTACCTGCGCTGGACTGTGGTGCTTGTGGCGCCCCTCTTTGGCATCGTTGCTGCTGCGTGCAGCAACGGGCGCATGGGCACCCATACCACCATGGTCACGGGCCACATCTTGACGCTCACACAGATCGTAGGCAATCTGGTGATGGCCAGGCGCGGGTCCCCCTCCAATGCTTGGGGCAAGGCCGAGCTGTTGGCAGGGAGAAGAGTCAGAGTTCAGTAGCTCTGTTTCCTACACCATCCTGTGCAAGACAGGTACCGATTGCGTTGATTTTTCTATGCGCCAGGTTGGGCTATGACCCCATGAAGCTCAATGTGGACAAAAGGCGGGCGAAGTGATGAAAGATGCGAATTTACTACAATTTGCTGGGAAAATTGGGCTGTTTTCTCAAGATCATAGGCAGCCCAAATGCAGGGCTACCACAAGGGGGCAAACAGCTGTTGCATGCCCCATGTTGGCTTCAAGTCAAATTGGGGGCGCAGCTACAGTGTTCCATTTGCTGACGAGTGTTTGTATCCCCATTCTTGCGATGGCAGCTGCACTGGAGCTCATCACAAAACAAGTGGCGGCAAGCCCGAGTCAGAGAAGTTAGCAATTTAATTTATAGACCTCATGGCCTCATGGTAAATTTTGTATATAAATGAGTTGATGAGTGTCATAGGCTACGAATCTCTTCCCCAAAATATCTCAAACACCCGCCAGTAAAATCTTGCTTGAGTATTGGATTTGCTACTTTGGGTCCTAAACCTAAACCTTAGGGATGGGTCAAAAGCTATTACCATATCCGCGGGAATAAACATCCACTAACCAGCTATAACTTAGGGTACCATCCGGGTGCCGTTTGGCTTTGACTCATAACCATGTGGAGGTTTCCTGAAATGGAGGTTGCCCCAGTTCTGAAAATGGATTTTAGATTAGGATTTTCCATGAAATAAACCAACCAGCTATTGGGGATTCCCATTTCAGGAACTCATGTGACTTGGTGGTCGCTGGGAGGAAATCCATGATGAGCATCATGGTGATCGCCGGCACCATCGCCGGTGCTTGCCTGGGATCCTATGCTTTGGTGATTGTGACATGGAAAAACCTGGGGAGTTGTAAAAAAAAAGGTCCCTAAGGTCCCTGGTTGTTGACTTTGTGGGGTTATGATATTACCCTCTGGTAATTTAAGATAGCGAACTGGAAAATCACCATGTTTGGGTCATTTTTGATAGCTATGTTCAATTACCAGAGGGCAACATATATTAACCATGTTGGGCAGTAATCATTTCGAACTGGTTAATGTGGATTGTGAATAGTAGAATCGTACTAACTGGTCTAATGGGGCGATGAAGATATCCAAGATGGAACTGCAGATCAATGACAAAGTGGGGGGGTAACAGGGGTAACCAAATTTGACAGAATGCCGGGGATAGGGTTGACAGCATTTGATTGAGTGGCAACGCAAATAACCAATGGGCATGAGGATGAGGAAAGGTGACTGGCACGCTGGATTTGTTTGATGCTTTCAAGAATCATTTATGATATGTGAATGTGTATACACGAAAAGGATAAACAACAAAACCATGTACATCCATGTATAACCATGTACAACCATGTACTATATATAAGTATAACACTAGTATAGCTGGTCCAATTGGGGGCATTCATTATCATCCAATACCTTGCTGGGAGATGCCTCAGGGAAGTGATGGTTGCGATGAAATCCCAATGCCTGATATATCCCCATCGGTAATTTGTAGATAGACATTCAGTATCCCCCAAACTTAATTCATCCTCCCATTACATCCAAAATATTTTCATCAAAAATGTCATCCCCATTTTTTTTGATATCCAAACTTAATTTATCATCCCCCTATCTCGCATTTTTTTTTGGTGGTATCCCATCCCCATTTTTTGATCAAAACATCCACAGTCTGTGAAGCATCAGAGGTAGAGGTGCACCATGTGTTGCTCTTCCCGGTGCCTCTGCTGATCTATGCCCTGCTGTGGCTACACGATCACTTGGCGAAGCCCAGATCGCTCATCAAGCGGGCGCCCGGTCTCTTGTGGGGGGGTTTTTACACGGCCGAAGCGGTGGAAGTTGGTGCTGGATTCAATGGACGTTGAACCACAGTGACAAAATCCCATGGGTTTTTGGTAGCATCTGCCAATCCTGGGTGGATATGGTTGGATCATATTTGCTGAAGTTGGTGAACCAAACGATGGTTTATTGCGGATATGAATCGAAGTAGTGGCTGGGGTGAAACTAAACCAGACATAACTGGGGGACCACAGAAGTTAGGTGGGAAAATCTCTGGAAATCTCAAGTGAATACCTCTTACGTATCGAAACTTTTTTCGAAAAAGATATGGAAAGCAAAGATTTCTCCAGGCAGTGAAAAAGAGTGAAAAATACCGCAAGGCAAACCCAGCATGGCATGGATGGTATGAGATTTGGGTGACTCATTGAAACCCTTCCGGACCTTGGAAAACAGCATCCCTTTAGCAGAGCTTCTGTCGGGCGATCTGCAAGTTTTGAGAACATGGCTTGGCCCAGAATCCACACCGACTGACCATCTTCACATATCGACTGACATATCGACTGACATATCGACTGATTTGTCGATTTTCCATGGTTTTCCCATCTATTGACGTATCGAAATAAATTTGTCGATGTGTCGAGGTGCAAAAGAAATGGCGGGAGCGGCAGCACTCGGAAGTCTCTGAAGACATCTCTGTCACCTCCCAGGATGCAGCTCCATCCGTGGAATCTTCCGACGACGAAGATGAGGACACTGTGTGATGCCGTAAGTCCCAGAAGCTGCTGGATCACCGAAAAAGTGGACATTTACATTCATATCGTGTATAAATCTGTACACCCACGGCTAAATATGATCTATAATTGTCATATAATTGTCAATTTAATTGTCAATTTAATTGTCAGAGTCTATCTATCTGGATATAATATTCACATACGTATGTATATATATAATATATATATATATATAATATATATATATATAAAAATAAATATTATATATATATATGTGTACAATTATATCTCATGATATGTATATATCACACAATTAAGACATGGTAACATGCTATCAACAACTGTATCAAGTTGGGTATTCCGCCGTAACGAGAAAAAAACACATCCACCGTGCGGCAGAGATCGAACTGTAATGGGAAAAAACATGGCATTTTGGGGGGGTATTCCCATGGGAATCTATGGTATTCCCGATTTTTTGGGTAACCTGAAGATACCTGAAGTCTGTGTGTGAGAAGCGCGGAAATCCCGAAAAAGTAACTCACACCCTCGGATTCAGTTACGCACCCCTGGCACCCCCAGCCGTGTAGAGCAAAATGCCTAATCTGCGAAGTGACAGTGACACAAAGTCTGTCACCCGTCTTGTACAGATCACCTCGAATGTGATGAGAGACGTTGGCCCTTAGAATGTAAAGATCATGGTCATTCAGCCAACCCCCCAAAGCTAAGAACATTTTAAGAATAGATAGATGGATGTAGATGGTTGATATTGAGCCCTTAGTGGTTGGTGGTAAGATGAAGGTCACCTTTGGAGGGGTTCGGTTGAATCCCCATGAAACGATGTCGCAAAAGGGCCGAGACTTCACACCTGGCTGGTGGTTCCGTAGATTTTCCAAGCCTGCCGATGATCCAATCCGTTCAGAGGTATCAAACTTGTTGGATTTTCAAACCTTGGAGCCATCGAAAAAGAGTGCCATGAAAGTTGATTGTTCGGCTCTGGTTCGGAAGCTTTTCAGATACCCCCATCCAGAAGAGGGAGCAGTCTGGCACTTCGAAAAAAAAAGATACTGTCATGGTCTCACTGTGGGGGTGACCCACATGGAACTTGGACTCTTGGGACCCGTTGAACCCTTCGTTGCTCTTTGTTTTTGTCCCTGAAAATAGGGTACCCCTATAGGGCCCTAGATCTATCGCTTTATCATCACTTTCCCTTTGAACCTTTTTAAACATGACAATTTTTTTGGGGTGAATCGGTTAATCTCCTGTTAATCCCCTATTTTCAGGTCCACGCCCTCTTTGGATAATAGTTGGTGATATATCCCATGAGACCCTCATGAACATCTCAAAATTAAACCACCATGGTTGAAACCGCAAAGGTGCACCGGCTTCGTCGTTTGGGGCACGAGAGCTTGAAGCGATCGGACTGCTATCAAGCCGCGCACTACTTCCAGCTGAGCCGAGAGCAGTTGCAGAAAATGGAGGCCTCGGGAACCACGGCCATGGCAGCTGGATTCCAATGGATCGGTTTGGTGGATTTCCGGCCGTGTTGAAATTGATGATAGTTAAGTTTAATGTTAAGATATGTTAAACAAGTACCCCTGGTTTTAAACATGATTGAAGCAGTGCTTTTTCAAGTACTCTCCATTCTTTTTGACTTCTTTTGGCGTCCCTTTCCAGTTTTCATTGTTTTGTCACATTTTTTGTAGGGCTGGGAAACCCGGTCAGGCAAATGTCACAGAGGTTTTAGGCGTGGCCTTAACCGGGGCGGCGACTTCAGGGCAGGTCAGCCACGAATTTTGGGGCCTGAACACTGAACATTGGGGATCCAATGGCCTTCTTAGCCACTTGGGATCATGGATGGGTGTGTCTCAAAATTTGGGATGGCAGTACTCTGAAATCCAATATTCTATCATCATACATCATCATATATTATATCTGGTTGGTGGTGACTGGAACATGGCTGGATTATGACTTTCCATATATTGAGAATAATAATCATCCCAACTGACGAACTCATATTTTCAGAGGAATTGAAACCACCAACCAGATATACCAGATTAACCATCTATTCCCCATCGAAATGGTCAATCCCAGCCACATTTTCAGGGCACCAAATCCGAAAAAAAGTTGGCAATGTATCCACATTATCGCACGATATCCTCATGAATATCCCATTAAACCAGCATTTCGAATGGTTGAATTCCGCATATCGTTCTGAAAGTGAGCCATGGCTTTTCTGGTCCAGGTCTACAGGTCAGCCTGTCACAGGATCATGCCTTTGCGCTCGTCACTTGGTTGTTGAGATAGGAAAAGACCTTGGGTTGTGCTGTTGAACCTGTTGAACCTACAGCCCTCTTCAAGAGCCAACCCATTCAACTTTGATGGTTTTGGGCTCACTGGTGAAGCCATGGATTGTACTTTGATGTCGATCATTGTCGATCATTTGATATAATTTATGGTTTGTAGAAAAACAACAAGTGAAGTGTGCCAATAGTTGGCCCAAACTATTGCCAGGTGTAAGGATAGTGGCACTTTTTTTCCCTTGGGGATTTTGGGACTCGCCCAGATTTGTTCTCGTCGCTTTCAAGACGGGATTGCCTTGCTGGAAGGATGTCTGACCAGTGCACGACTTAGCGGCTTAGCGGGATGGTTTTTTGCTGACAACCCCAAACGAAAGCCTGCTGAATTGTATTGTTTTTTTTTTTAAATAACCCCATGACATTGTTATTCATTTGCTGACAATAAGCCTGATTGAAAAAAACCCTGATCTATTCATGTTCATTGGAGGGCCCTGTCATGGGGCTATTTCAAATATTGAGGGATATTTCATATTGGGATTCCAAGGATTGGAAGATCGGTGGCAATTTTCCACAGAAAACTTGGCCAGAGTGGCAGAAAGGGAACTGAAATATTCAAGGAAAATAGTGCATGTGTGTGTGTCCCATTTAATGATTTTGTGTGTTTTTTTGGAGATTCGCAATGAGAAAAAAGACCATGATTCAACATTCGCACTTTCTTCCGTTGTGCTCCAGAGATCCCATCCCATTTAGCCATTTTGGTGGAGCAGTGACCAGAGATCACCAGTCGCATCAAGGTCCATTGAAGTGCGACAGCAAATTGCTGAATGCCTTGGGATATGCCTTCTGCCAGATGGAGGACGTGAAGAACTCATTATTGTAAGGCTTGGGGGGAATGAAAGCCGACCAAGCCGCTTGATTATGGATGTTTGAAGTTGTTAATATTTTCTTGCGAAGCCAAATGATTGCTTCAAATACTCGAATGCTTATGAATGCTTCGCATAGCGTTGGGGATTCAGGTCCGCTAAACGTGTTTTCGCACCGAGACACCGATACACCGATTGCCGCGCACCGATACACCGATACACCGATTGCCGCGCTCGCACCGATACACCTATATACACCGATAGCCGTGAATTTAGGGTTTGGTCTTGGTTTAGGGTTTGTTTAGGGTTCGTTTAGGGTTGGTTTATGGTCTTAATTGAAGTTTAGAATTTGTTTTAGGGTTGTTTAGGATTGGTTTAGGGTTGGTTTAGGGTTGGTTTCGGGTTTATTTGGGGTTGGTTATAGTAAGTTAAAGGGCACTGTAAACACAGCGATTGGCGTAACGGCGTATCGGCATATCAACGGTTACGGACCCCAATGCCCAACACGCTGGGTTTTAGCCTTTTCTTGTGGTTTGAAATCTTGGCACCTTTGATTTCACTCTACATGATGCTTTCAACCACTGCAACCAATTGTTCGCCCTAATATTCGCATAATCGGCCAGGGGGATTGCAGTGATTACAGCTTGTGTCAACTAGTCGTTCTATGCGTCGGTCATGTTTGTGGGTACCCAATCTTGATCCAAAACCATTGGATCCAAAACGGTTCGCGAATGTCCACGGTCGGCGATCATGGCGTGTGTTTCCAGGACCTCGAAACAGCTGCCAAAGTTTTCCAGATGGGCTTGTGGCCTCAGCTGAAGGAATGCAGATTCACGAGTATTCATATGGATTTGGATTTATGCCAGAACTCAAGATGTTTAAGACATTGGATCCACCTAGATGAAAGATGGTCACAGGTTCGTCCAAATGTCAGATGCCTTGGGTGAAGTTCGATGAATCCGTCTGCATTGATGCTTGGTTTGGGTGAAACATTAGACACATTGGGGTCTTCCCTCATTCCTCAAAAGATCCCCAGACCATCATCTTCAACTTTTGTTGAGTCTTTTGGATTGCTCTGATGCACAATTTCCCATGGTTTTTGTAGGGGTGCTACCTGGGCCTGCCATCGACACCTTGTACAGATAGCCTTACACAGGGATCTTGCACAGCAGCTTCGACAGAGAACCTGTCCAGGAGATCTTGCGCACGATCTTCTACAGAGATCTTCACAAAGGGTGCTTGCAGAATCTTACCTGGTATCTCTTCTTTTCACTACTAGAGTCGCTCTTGTGCTAGCTTGCAGCCACTGATGCTTTTAGGTCCTTTCCGCCTTTCCCTTTCGAGTCCTAACCATATACACTGTTTGGGGTTTCTTGCCGGGATATATATATATATTTAACCACAAACTCTTCCTTGCCTACCGTAGAAGGCTGATTAGCTGAGGTCTCTCTGAGGACCCCGAGAATCCGATCATTTGGAACAACTTGGGCGCTGCCAGAATGGTCCAGACCTCAGCAGATCGAGACTTCGCGGGAAAACATGGTGGCCAAAGGGCGATTTGTAAGCAAGGTCCTGCAACGATTCTGTTGGATGTGTACCCCCCAAAAAGAAATTCTGAGCCCAAAGTTTTGCTTCTTTAAACACCACATTCACGCCAAAATTTCATGTTGAGATGCAGCCATCATCAATGTTCATGGTCATTTGCAGGAGTCTGCCGGTACGTTTTTGGGCTCGAGGATGTCTAATACAAAGTGCTGATTTCGGTGCGCTTGGCCCCGACGTGACGCGGGGAACCATGGAGCCTTCTATGGTGGTGGCTTCGGCGAACGATGCAGTGCATGGGGGCCACTGATGCATGAAATGTGGGCATAAGAACCATTAAACAGCGAATTAGATGCAGTTGTCAGGAAACCAAAGACTTTTGGATACTTTGACTATTTAATTTAATTTCATATTATAGTATACACAGTTTAAAGCCGTCCAATTTTCATGTCCTTTGGGATGCCTGGATTTTGATTGGCATAGCCATAGCCAGCCCTTCGGGCTTTTCAGGTGGGATGTTTGTGGTTCATTGTGATTGCCTTCATGTTCTTCGCGCAGCATCATGTCTGTGATGCCTACTTCGTCCCCGCCATCAACGTCTTTGTTGGAAAGATGAAGACATCTGGTGAGCAGTTACGGAATTTGACACTTTGTAATCTGTAATTTGATAGTAAGTGGATGTAAGTGGGTTGGTAAACCCAACACTAAGCCCGACGATTTTTTTTTTCTGTTTGTGGACTATCCAAAACCATAGCATCAGGGTTCATGATTGGGTCTGCCACATCCTCCTGCAACTAGCTTGTAGGATTGACTTATTTAGTTCATATGTTATACCCTCTGGTAATTTAACATGGCTATTGAAAATTGCCATAGAAATAGTGGATTTTCCCATAAAAAAATGGTGATTTTCCAGTTCGCTATGTAACAAATTACCAGAGGGTAACATGTTTTTTTAGCATAGCCCTTGATGATGACAGCAGCTTCCAGGAAATCCAGCAACACATGGCTGCAGCGTTGGGGAGACGAGGCCTGGCCAAATTTTTCCAAAATGGGGCAGTTACTTCAAGCCCTGTCATACAAAAAAAACACCCCTATATAATAAGCTGTTTTAGTTATCATTATCCACCTATAATACCTACTGTTGAAATAACTCAAAACACTATTATTACAACTGTTTTGTGTTTTGAGATTTCAACAGCAGGGTGACCCCAGCAACCTCATACCGCCCTTTCGGCAGGCTGTAGCGGGCGCCACCATTTGTGCCCTGGGGTGCAACGGTCCTGAAATGTTCACCAACTTGATTTCCCTGTACACCGGATCAGATGCAGGACGCTGGGGATGGCTTGGATTCCTTGGATTTCCCCAGTTTTGGAAGAAACATTTCCCCAGCGAAGCACGAACGGCTGAATCGTTTTGGAAGAAACTCAACTTCAAAACCAACCAGCTTTCTTCATGACTCATCAAAGTTGTGTGCTCTTAACACTGATGTCCCAACTCTTGAATTTGCGAATTAGACCTTGAAAGGCCGAAAAAGTCTGAGTTATATTATATAAGGTTATATAATTATATGATGTTAGATAATCTTTTCCAAAGTCCCTTAAATTTGCAGTCTGCAGCGAATCACCCAAGCCATCACACGCCAAAATATCAGGGATTGGTGTGGTCGTGGGTTCGGAAATCTTCAACCTGCTGATCATCGTGGGTTTAACCATCTCTGCCGCTCCGGTGGTCCCATTGGCACTGGAACGGGTGCCCTTCGCCCGCGACTGCTTCTTCTATGCCCTGTCCATCGCCTTGCTCTACTGGGCACTGTTGGATCATGCCATTGCCACTGGGACTCTGTAAATCTCTGCAAATCTGGGACAAAAAAAATGCCCCCTGTTGGCTAAAAAAGATTTTATAGCCCCAAGCGGCCAGCAGCTGGCGAAGCAGCACCCAAAGGAAGCCAAACACTCATATCATTGGGCGGATCATGCGTTGTTTCCTTTTCTTGGAGGTGGTAGAGCTTTGCGAAGCGGTTCTGGGTCGTGGGTAGCGACATCGTCAATTCGAGTGGGGGAAGGTTAAGAAAGGCTTTCCATCTAATGCGATATAATCCTTTGCTGAACTATACTAACTATACTAAACTAGACGCAATTTATGGTTTTCTTTGAGGACACACCATGCCCAAGTCTTCCAATCAATCACCTTTTTCCACAAAAAAACATGTTTTTTGTTTTTCCTGATCATTATGATTGGATGGTTTCACTGCTAAAGACTAGAAAAAGTTGCGCCCCAAGACATAATATGCTTGTTAGACACTCAAATGGCTAAAATGATTGGTTTCCAGTTGTTTCATAGCCATATATTCGTGATGCATCCCACACATTTTGCTTTTGACATACATCCCAGTATATCCCATTTTATATCCTGATAACATGCTGGGTTTAATGACATACCTTGTTCTTGTTGGTCAAACCCCGATTATCCCATTACTATCACATCATTTTCATCATTTGGACAAAACCCATGCCCTCTTATGTCCCATTGCAGTTTTTTTTCTCATAAAGTTGCCTAAACAACCGCTAAACATATTTGTATACATATATCTATATCTATATCTGTATCTATACTATAATACCCCTCATTTCATGGCAGCCAGTCTGCCAAAAGTTCCAACATTTTCCGGCCAGTTCCACGTTTTTGCCCAGGAATCCTTTGAGGCCTGGGTTCTCCTGGGTGCGGCCTTGGTCTACGTCTGCTGCGTGTACTTCACCGGGGATCTCATCATCGCCATCCCGGCGCTGCGCCCCACAACGGTGGCGCTGGAGGAGCCCGCATCGCCCAGTAAGAAGAAGGGGAAGATGCACGGCATCGAGGTGGAGAAATGGGAAAAACCACGGGGGCCCAGGAAAAATGGGGGGGTTATGGTGAACAAGTTTTTTTTTGGCCGTAAGATGATGATTTGTACCATGGTTTAATGATGATTCGGCTTGATTCATGGGATATTTTATGGGTTTTATATGGTTTTATGGGATGAGAATGGGTCTGGTACCTGAAAATGATGAGAAATGCATGGAGAAGACCATTCCATCCACCGGTGGAAAAAGACCATCCAAGTGCCATAAATTGATTTAACATTGAGGGACATTTCATTGGATGAGGCATCATAAAAAATCATGATTTTGGGGGTGTAGGACAAAGGTAATCATGGGAGTGATGAATATCTTATGAAATCATGGCAAGAATCATGAAATAATCACAGATAGTGCATATGTAGATCATAAATGACGGGGAGTGAGCAGCCATGGAGGTGAACAATATGAATATGTTTTCTTATGATTGTGGGATATTGTGGTTCCATATCATTGTACCCATGCTATTCTGTTCAGGTCAGAGATAATCTCTGAGTGCTAAACCACTAAAAGATCATTTTTCTTCAGCCGCAACTCCGAAGAAACACTCCCAACATCTATGGGGTTTGTCTGAAAATGGCCTACCCTCTGGTAAACATACAAAAAACTATGGAAAATCACCATTTTCAATGGAAAAATCCACTATAAATGGTCATGTTCAATAGCTATGTTAAATTACTAGAGGGTACCCCCAAAATCCCGTATGATTCACATTGATTTGCCATGATTTTTCCCATTGAAATGACACGCTGATGGAGCCCAAAACCCCCGTTTTCCATCATGGCCCTGGCCTTAAAAGCGGCCGCAGGTGTCTGTTGAGGAGATTTTGCATGCGCGCATGGCGGATGCGCATAAAGATCAGCAGCAGTGGAATGTGGACCCAACGGCCCATGGCATCTATGCTGAGCCCCAACAAATTCCCGCAGAGCAGAAGGAATCGAAGGCCGCGGCAGGGTTTTTTTTACTGAACCTTCGCGCCATGGTCAAGTGCTCCTGGTATCTCCTGGTAAGTTGGACTCCAGCTTAAAATCGGAAGGTGGTCTCAACATGTTTCGGCAGGGTTTCATTCACCAATATCCACCAGATTTTGGAGATGTCCCATTTGGATCCAGCCATGGCCCCATCAGCCAGCGGGTCAGCCCGGGGGGAGCCGCAGGGTGCGCGACAGTCCATCGGCTTCCAGTTTGATGTGAAGGATAGTATGTTGGGTGCTGTGCTGAAGTACAAAGACCTACAGGTGCCTTGGAGGATGGGAGATATACCCTCTGGTTATTTAACATAGCCATGGAAAATGGCCCATTTATAGATGGTTTACCTATTAAAAATGGTGATTTTCCATGGCTATGTTAAATAACCAGAGGGTATATATATAGATATGGAGCTGACCCACTGTGTGGCCATGTCAAAATGCAAAGACAATGGTGGGGTGGATAATGCTCCACAACTTGTTTGATGGTACACTCAAAGAGCTCTGCAATGAGTTTGGAACACCCTTCAGAATGTTTTGGAAGCATACGCTCCAGCTGGGGTGTTAGAACTTGCTTCAGGGGAAGTTCTTTGAGCCCACCAGCTGAATTGAAGGGTTTGAAACCCAATTTGCCCTGAACATAGTACCTCAATTTGTTGGACCCCAAGAAACAACGACTGCAAACTCGCAGTTGTTTCAGCTTATTTCATCTTCATTTCATCATCATGTCATCATCATTTCATCATCATTTCATCTCAGCTTTTCAGGAAGTGGTCTTGATGGAGATGGGCGTCATGAACTTGGAGTTTTATCACAATTTGCAGCACATCACCTTGCGCTTGACGGTGGAAGATCCCGATCAGCGCGACCAACTGCTGACGCTCGCAGGGGACCGCTGATGGGGCCAGCAGTATGGCACTTCGGAAATATAATTATAATATAATATAATACAATATAATATCATATAATATATAATATAATACAATATAATATAATATAATATAATATAATATAATGTAATATAATATAATATAGTAATATATATATATATTATGGTATGACAACAGGAATAGATAGGAATGTTATATCCAACTATATCTACAATATCTAGAGATATCATATATTAAATCATCATGAGGAATAGATCAACAGAGCTTCTTGGCAAAAAACATGGCCCTGGAAACATTCTTGGGATGAACATATACCAAGGAACAACATCAAGGAGTACTCCCTGGGTCGTCCCTGGGTGCACGGCTATGATGCCACCATCGTGGGGGCCTGGCAGCACTTGCGCCACACCTTGGGGGCCACTGAGATGCCGTTGATTCAGAAACTCGTGGCGGTCCCCGAGTTCCTGATCGATTCTGTGTGGCTGGGATACGAAAAATGGCCACGCCACACAAGTGGCGGGTGATTTCAGTTGGGTGAAGCACTATATATCTATCTAATTATATATAAGTATATATACACGGGTACATATATATATATATGATATATGTATATATATATATATAAATCATCATCATATGTATATATATATATATGTATAAATCATCTATCCAGATTTGATGGATGTTGGTCATGTTTGTTTGACTTCGGGTTTTTTGTTGTGGATTTTAAAGATGAGCCTTGCTCAAGATGGGTGTTGGTACTGATCATCCAGTTCAATGCTTACGTTGATGCCCCTTTTTGCCGCATGTTGAGTTGATGCAAAGGCAGGGTGGCATTTTTCCAGAACGAAAGGATATAGATGGCACCAAACAATCCAATCTAATCTTCTCAAAGGACATCATGAATGAGTGGTGCAATGGTAGTTGCTGGTGGATGACGGCTGGTGGTCAGCCAAACCCTCGCAACTTTTCCCAATACGTGATGGGAATCCTGAAATGAGCAAGATGGAAACACTTATTTTATCTTATTATATTTATCTACATTTCAGATTACTTCAAGAACCTTTACGATGCATTCAATATCACCTCCAGCTACAATGAAGGTTAGTTTGGACACTCCAATTAATAAGAGATGATGTTCTGGTGATCTCTGGCAACGAGGTTGGAGGCTATTTGTGGGTCACTGCTGCTTTCCTCTGTTTTCATGCATTTTCTTCAGCGTCCCCTGATATCTTCGGCATGGTCAGTACCATGCACTGATCATCCCCAAAATAGCAAGGGTCTGAAACAGTTTTGTTGAACTACTCAACACAGCATATATGGCTTTGTCTGGAAATCAGATACCCCAATCCATCCCGATTTTTTACCATCATTTTCCCTCTAAAAAGCGGCATTTTGTTTTGGCAAAAAACCTATTTTTGCAGACACACCCAAATATCACTTGTATATCTCAGTCTATCCCGGTTTTTCCTAGTTAAATCCCCATTTTCCCTAGTTCAATCCACATTTTATCAGCTTAAATCCATGCCCAGTTGCCGCCCGGGCATCATAGGTTGAGACTCACCCTGTTCCCCGTGGACGTGAAGGACATCACCAAGGAGTCCCGCTGGCCACTGTGCTTCGCGGGTGCCATGCTGCTTGGAAGCCAGCCCATAGGACAGCTGGTACAATGCGGGTTCATGGCCATCCTGAACCCCCCCAAAAAACCAATGGTTTTTAGCATCATTTTCTCATTAACATGGCTCTTCAATTGGGGTAAAACATGATAAATCCCAACCCCCATGAACAAAGCCATGGAAACCATGGAAACCATGGAAACCATGCGGTGGTTAAAAAACCTCCAGGTTTTGGCTGGCCATCTTTTCCTTCTTCATGTTGGAGATCGCCAACCAGATACACTACAACATCCCCGCGCTGCCCAACAGCTTTTTAGGCGGCGTACAACGGGTTCCGTTGATGTTTACCCTCTGGTAAACATACAAAAAGCTATTGAAAATGGTCATTTATAGTTGATTTTCCCATTAAAAATGGTGATTTTCCATAGCTATGTTAGTTTACCAGATGGTAATCTCCTCCGTCTCCACAGCCTGGTTGGTAGATACACTATCTGGATCGGATAGAGATACCGTTCCAGATGTACCAACCATGGAATGAAATTGGTTGGTCTTATACAGTGACCTGTATATTCTGTTATCCACTGCAGTATTCATTGCTTTCATTCTGCCCCAATGACCACCTAAAATAGGTGAATTCTGTGGGTTGGTGGTAACTTTAAGGAACCATGATGAGCCATGGATTTTGGTCATTTTTGGGTTGGATTCTAGTTTTGGGACACCTGAAATGGATGGAAAAGGTTGTTCTACCCTACTGGATGAGTGATATTATGTTATATTCCAGGTCATATATGGTTGATATCACATTATAATCATTTATAATCCAAATATGATAACAGATCTATATCAACAACTGTTCCGTTAAACAGATCCAGGATCTCCCCCATCCATGATCTCGCCATGGTCACCAAATCGAGGCATCACCGTGTGCGCCATCGGCACCTCGTTCCCCAACGCCGTGGCATCGGTGTTGATGGCGCAGCAGAACAACCCCGCCGCGGCCATCGCCAACGCCTTGGGCTCCAACGTGCAGAACGTCTTCCTGGCCATGGCACTACCATGGGCCACCCGCGATGGGAATGGATGGGAATGGATGGGATGGTGGGAATGGTGGGATGGTGGAGGTTTCCTACCCTCTGGTAAACGTTTACATGTTGCTATGGAAAGATCCACGATTTTTAATGGGAAAATCCACTATTTCGACGCCATTTTCAATAGCTTTTTGTATGTTTACCAGAGGGTAAGTCATGCCCCAGTTCTGAATCTTTGGAGATTTCCGGGGATTTCTCTGAAATAAACCATCCAGCTCTTATGGGGAATTTTCCATGGAAAGACATGGGATTTTCTGGATGATGGGGTGATGGGATGATTATGGGGGCTTCTGACATTGGGGAATCTCCAAGTCACCCTTGGTTGTTTCAATACTATAGTCTATAGTTCACCAATGACTTGGGCGATGACTGGGGGCGATGACTGGGGGTACGATCATGTCTTTGGAAACCTCCATATCAAAATGATACATCTGGGGGTTTGTAGAATAGACATGTGGTATTCATGTTGAAATTTGTATTATAATATACATACACTATAACATATACATAAGTATCATATAATTATAATTATATATATATATATTGATGTATTTGTCTATGGAGGATACGTCTTTTTGTGACAACTTGAACTAGGAAAATGTTGCTTTGGGGTCACCGGAATTGGACGTCTTGTAGCTTGGAGGATGGAATAAACGTGATGAAACGCGGTATATCGATATATATATATATATATAATATACATACATTGTATATATATATATATGTATATAACATACCGGGGCATACCCCAAAATTGCAACTTGATGTGAGTTTGAGCGCTCTCAATTGTTGGCACTAATTGAGAAAATGATGATGATGAGAGTGATGTATGCATTTGATTTTCGCAACGATGAGATTTCCGGGCCTTGTTTGCTGGTCAAGATGCGATGAATGGATGGTCGAATACCTTTTCAGTGACCGAAGTGGTGGCGCAAGAAATGGCTGGCGGATGTCCAATTGAGTTTGCAGCCAAAATTGCAACATGTTGTTCAAATCCCAGTGCAAGTTGTTGATTCTGTTCTCTTTTCTATTCTTTTCTGAGATGTGAACTGGGTACCACAGTGATATTTTTCTTTGCATCGCTTGGCAGTGCCGACATATTTTGATTGAAACCAGCGGGATATGGGATCGGGAAATGTATTGAGAAATTGAGTATTAGTGCATGGCTTGTTCCCCATCTGGCTTACCCAATATTTACTTGAAAAGAAGCCAGATGTATTTTTTGGCTGACGATTTCTGGGCAGAAAATGACGATTCGAATTTTTTGGAGCCGAGAGCCTGATGTCTGCTGATCAAGACTGAGGGGTTAGCTCCCTTCACCAATAGATCCACTAGCTAGATGATTAAACATAGCCATGGGACATGGCCCATAGAAATAGATGGTTTACCTATTAATTTTTCCATGGCCAACTGTTAGATAAAGAGATGGTATACAAACCCCGGAAGGTTTGTTCATGGAAGAGGCTTGGTAGATGACCTAAGGTCATCTACCAACTTCAGCATGGTGGCAAACCCATCAATCAGAACGTGGCTGGCATCAACGAGGGAGTCCTTTGGATGTGTGGAACTTTAATCCTGGTGATTTTCTTCGTGTTGCTGCCACCCTTCTGCAAACTCTCCTATGCCTATGGCCCGATCTTAGCCACTTGGCAGGAAGTCGAAGGCTTGATGCAGTTGAAATTGAAATCATATGGTAAACTTCCAAGAGATAGAACTGACCTTGAGAATCCTTGAAATGTCCATTGGACCTAGCCCATTTGAGCCCCACCAAGGTAAGCGTTTACGTGGCATACTTGGTAGTGACGAGTGGTGAGACATTTGGTTGGTGGCCACCCTTGGTGAAGTAGTGGCCATCGACTGGTCTGGTGGCGACCAGCGGGGGAGCCCTGTGAGATCCGGCGGTGGGTCCAAAATTCCCAACCCACAGCCGATCCCATCATTGTTTCAGTACGGAAAGGTCAATGGACCAATCGATCTGCGCCAATCGGAAAGACGGAAGATGCCGCGCTGTTCAGCGAATGTGACATACATGACCCCACATGCTGATCTAACGGTGGGGTGGGCTTGGGTCGCCTGTCAGTTTCCGACTTCGCAAATGGATGCAAATGGCAATACGTCAAGGTTCATTTTTGTTATTTTGAAGGGTACATGAGTATGTTATGATATGTTATTTGTCCGAAGCATTTTAACTCATAGCTAGGTTCGCAAAAAAAAGGAGCGCTGATGTGCTATATCCAAGCCGCAAATTCACACGGGATGGTTTTAAGCTTTCAATCCTGATTTATAGATAGATTATGCTCCAAAAAAGTTTGCTGTTTGACATACGCTTGGCCCAAGGGCTTTTTTCCAATGCCACCAGAAAAAGGTAGATATTAGTGATGAGAGGCTTCTTCTGTTATGGACCCCCCCAAAAAAACCACCAGACACCCAGTTTTTTTCAGTAAAAAACGCCACCATTTCCCCCATTTCCACCATTTCCATATGCGGTTTCCTGTCCAAAAAAAAACCCAAAGAAAAGCCATCCCGCTTCCGCTTTTTGATCCAAGGACCTGGGGGATTTGGAAGCCGCTGATTTTGCCTTGCGCCGCACCCAGCTGGTGGGGTGGTACAGGTTGGATTTCCATGGCCATGAAAGCCTGGGGAATGTGACAGTGGGAACATGAACCATGGACTATCCATGGACTTTTGGTCGAAATTTTTGGAGATTTCTGACATGCCATCTGAAAGCTGCTTTTGTTTTTGAAAAAGCGTCATTTCTTAGTCCGAAAAATTGAAATCGGGTTTCCTGGGGAAATGAACAGGCAGCTAAGCTGTTGAACTTCATCCCAGAAGGATTCAACCTTTCTTCACTGCTTGATAGTTTCAATATCTTTCAAAGTTTTTTGATTTTCAACTATGGAAACTGGATGATGATCATATATGATCAATGACGAGCACAAGCATCTTCAAACCAGGTTTTTTTTTTCGCGGTTTGAGCCACCAGCTACCCAGTTTGACCTATGCTGACCTCGGCACTCAGGGACAAGGCCGCGGCGATCGCTGAAAAGAGCCAAGAAAACCACCCGCGGCAGTTGACGATCGCCAACGTGCGCGATGGAGACGTTTGGGGGTTGCTATGTCATCTATGTTTGTACTGAACATGGGATAATGTGGGCCAACGGCCAAGTCATTGGGTTGCCAGTGGTTTCATGGTTTCATCATGTTTGACCCCCTGGTGATTAACATAGCTATGGCAAATCAGCATTTTTGATGGGCAAATCAGCAGTGGGCCATTTTCCATAGCAAACTGTGAAACTACCGGAGGGTACAGAATACAAAGAATGACCAAAAATCGGTGTTGTCACGCGTCTTAAACTTTAGCACCATACGCAGATCAAATTCTGAATTGCTCCATGACTTTTGGCAACAGATGAACAGATATAAATGGGTACGGTACACCGGTATAGCAGGTATGGACTGATGTGATATTTTTTTAATGGACACACAGTTTTCCGCGCGGTGCCAGTGGATTTTCTGTGGGCCAGCAGCCCCAAAGGGTTACTGTAATGAAAATAGCTAGATTCCAAGGACGGGATTCCCAAATAGACATAAAATATCACAGTGATTCCCAGTTCTATGACTCCAGAATAGACTTCATACTGTATACTTATGTGACTTATGTATACTCGGTTTATCAAATTCACCAGCGCTGTCGTTGATTGTCCTCCAATTTCCAGGTACAAGAGCTCACCCACAGGGTGAAAAGTGGCAAGGTGAGACGGGTGAACTGGGATGCTTGACACCGTTTTTTTTTTTGCCTCACCTGTCACCTGGGAATTGGCAGATTTTTTGTTGAGATCCATTTTTTGAGACCTCCAAATGATCCTGCCAAAAGGGACATGTCCCAGAAGATCCTGGCTTGTTATTCAAAGAGAGGTCCTTTTAGGTCTCCTGAGCCAGGCGAAAAACAGGGCTCAAGTGGACATTTGGTTCAGGGAGACCTTTGCAGACAAAGAGATGAGGCCTGAGAGCGGAGACGTCCCTCAAACTGTGAACCCTAAGGGATCCTGAAGCTGTGACAAGTTGGAGGTTGAACTTGGCCCAAAAAAAAAAGGCACTTCCTCTGGAGACCTTTCTTTGCAAGTGCAAGGTCTGTTGTTTCGGGTGTTTCGGGTGTGGTAAGATTTTTCGGATTTTTCATGGATTTTGTCAAAGGTCAAGTCGACTCAACTTCGTTGTTCTTGCCCTTCTTGAAAATCACTTGAGGATGTTGTTTTTGAAGAGAATCCTACGCTGTAACCTTACGACCGGCTGGAACTTCACCCAGAACACCTTGAAATTGCAGGAAATTGTAGGTACTTTGGAGGTTTAAGGCTTGATTCAGAAGCTTCCAAACCACCATTTTCCACCATTTTGGAGGTATTTCCACAATTTTCCAAACATTTCTTTGCCATTTTCCACCCCTTTCCACCCCTTGCCAATCCACCTTCCGCAGGTCGAAGGAACTCTGAGAAATTCGTGCTGCCATTGCAACAATTCGCTGAGCGTGTGCTCATTAAAAACCGGGAGTTGTCGGGAATGGTTGATGATTCTGTTGACTATCTGTGATCTGTGAGATATATGATTATATAATTATATTATATACTATATATACTTATACTATATAATTATATTATATGATTATAATTGTGATATATTATATGATATTACAGATATATAATTGTTATGATATTACAGATATATGTATATATATATAATGATATGATATTACAGACACGTTACAGATACACACATGACTTTCGCAATGAAACGTATCATCTATCTGGATGAATTTTTCAACGAGCCTCACGGCAAGGGTAAGTTCATTCCACACCAAACTTTCACACCTGAAATCTGGTGAATCATTAGAATTTCTCATAGGTGTATATATATATATATATATGTATATTCTATATATAGTCTTATCATGTCTTATAACAGTCCATTTTTTTTTCTCTCTCTCTCTCTCTATATATATATACACATAATATGGTGACTTAGACATGAGTTTTCACGAGAGGAGTTGACAAATCAACTTCAGCCATTGCCCCAACGGCACCTTTCGGGACGGTGATGCTGCCGCAGTTTTTTGTCGCAAAAGAGGGCGCCTGGGTACAGCTGTGAAAAATTTGGGAAGAAACAATGGGGAATCATATGGTTAACGGATGTTAATGGTTGGTTAATCGATGATACTAGTCAATAATAGTCAATAATAGTCAGTAATAGTCAGTAGTAGTCAATATAATAGTCAATAATGGTCAATATAACATGATTAATTAATAGTGGTTAAGATTGGCTTAATCATCAACATTTGGGTGTCTTCAATATGCGAACATACAGTACCAGATGGTGAAAGACCTGGGGCTCCCCGATCTTTGGAAACAGCTAGTGATGTACTGAGGCTGGGGGAACTCGTTTGGCACGAAGCAATCCTCGTAGTTTGCTAGTTCACAACCCTCATGAACCACAAAGTGTTTTTTCAGTTTTTTTCAGGAACATGTCACAAAAAATCATATCCCAAATCAATGCTGCTGCCGGAGAAGAGGATAATCCCACTTACAGCGTCCAGTCTAACCTCACTCACCACTAGGCCTACGGATCCTCCAAGAGGTTCAACATGGTTCAACATGGTTCAACATGGTTCAACATGGTTCAACATGGTTCAACATGGTTCAACCCTCCAAAAGTGGACTTTTCTAGGGATTTCTTGCTGTCTTCAGTGGTTGAACATCAATAAAAAAGGACATTTCCAGATGACAAACTGGGCCACCGAACATGGCAAGCCACTATGCTTGCATCAACATGGATGGTGGAAAAAAGTCAGGAACGCATCCAGAATGTGGAGCTATTGTAAACCATCCAAACATATTCCTAAAGTCCTGTCGACTGTTTGCTGACTCAAAACTGTGCTTAAATGAAAAATCTTGGGAGGGCCTGGTATCCAAAACATCACACCATCTTCACCGATCTGATGGATAGAGATGAATGGTCATGGTACCTGAAAAAGTACATCATATCATATCAGTCATATCAAACAAATCATCTCCCCATCCAGAAAGATCCCCAGTGTTGGCTGCAATTTGCCCACCGAAGCGTTTTGGACCGACTGGTGCAGGCTGGATGGAACAGTTCCCAAACATCCAGGCTGCGCATGGGCCATCATGGGCCTATGCTTAATGTTTCCCTAATGTCAACCAGCGATTCTAGCAACCCCCGAGCTTTAATTTTTAGGTGCTAGCAATTTTAATGGTAATTGATTTTGCTATTTTTGGGTGTAACCCCGCAATGAATCGTCAGGGTTTACTGTGTAATTGGGTGTTGACACTGTGGCACATTCTCAGAAAGCCATTTTCAAGATGTTCAGTCACAGGCTTCCAAAGTTCCATTAATGGGAGCCATCCCGTGTTCATATTCATATGTTATATATATATATATGTATGTATGTCGTTGTATTGTATCATTTTACATTCCTTTGGCATTGCCAACATACACTGGCTTCGTTGGTTTTCCCCCTTCACGTTGAATAAAGAATTTGATTTGATGTGTTCATCTCCACACTTTCATAGGGATTTTGCTATACCCAATATGTTGGGAATGCCGATTCATGACGGTGAGATGACCATACCTCATTGGTTAACCATGGCAACCCACCTTGTGAAGCTGGGTGTAACTCCCCCATTTTCAGGCATACCTCATCTCATCTCGTTGGTCATTATATTGTATATATGAAAAAAAAACAGTATCATCCATGATCATCCATTAATTATCATCCATGATCATCTACTACAGGTATCACAAACGAACTATCCACTTAAAATGGTGGTCTTTTTTACGGTTCAGAACCCCCTGGTCCAGCGCCTGGCTGTGGTGAAGCGCCAGGACGCCCCCTTGCCAACTCAAAGGCGTTTGTACCACGAAGCAAGGAGCTACCTTCGGTGGACTTGGAGTTGCAAGTTGCCAAGTGCCAAATGGCAAATATCAAGTATCTTAAGATGTTTTTCAGCAGGTAGAGTGTCAGAGGATTAGAGATATTGATCCAATTTTTTCAGTGGAACTGGAGGCAGTTTTTTGATCCAATTGATCCCATTGATCCAACTTCAAGTTGTCGCTACCAGGAGATTGGCACAACAACTGGTGCATCCTCCACAGCGTCTTCGCTTTTCGGATCCCACGGGGGGAGCTTTGTACTTTGATCCCCGAGGCAGATGAAACCGGCGCAGGGTGGGGTAAAACAAAACCACCATCCCACCAGTCACCATTAAAAATACCATGTTTATAGGTGGTATAGGTCTAGGTGGTATAAACTTACCATTCCCAGTACTAGGTGGTATAGGTCTAGGTGGTATAAACTTACCATTCCCAGTACTAGGTGGTATAAGTGGTTTTTCGGTGGTATAAACTTACCATTCCCAGTACTAGGTGGTATAAGTGGTTTTTCGGTGGTATAAACTTACCATTCCCAGTACTAGGTGGTATAAGTGGTTTTTCGGTGGTATAAACTTACCATTCCCAGTACTAGGTGGTATAAGTGGTTTTTCGGTGGTATAAACTTACCATTCCCAGTACTAGGTGGTATAAGTGGTTTTTCGGTGGTATAAACTTACCATTCCCAGTACTAGGTGGTATAAGTGGTATAAGTGGTATAAGTGGTATAAGTGGTATAAGTGGTATATGTGGTATAAACTTACCATTTTCAGTAAATACTAAGTCAAGGGTGCTGTAAATTGGCATTGTTTCTAGCCTACTATTGAGGATACTTGGACCACGTCCAGGTTTGTCTCGTCCTTGCAGGGCCTGCTTGTCAACACAGCGTCCTGCCCATGGCGGAACCAGGGGAACCAGGCGTCTCGGAACCGGGATGAAGTCTTCAACTTCCAACCCGGCCCGGTTGACACGGCCTGGTTACCTGGTTGATGTTGATGGATCAAGGTGGATCCTATCCGATCATATCCCCATCTCGCTTCACTTCAAATTTGTGAAATCATGTGCAATTTGGATCAAGTTGGTTGGTGCTTTTGAAGGGCTTCCATCATTTTCCATCCTTATTTCAGGTAAATCTTAAGGCGATAAAAGTTCAAGGGGAAGCTCAACCAACCAGTGGTGTAAAAATCATCAACCTATGAAGGCAGCGTGCCGGCGGCCACACTTCGCGAGGCCGAGGTCGGTGTGCGAGAAGTGTCGAAGGACTAGGGGGTAGGATTTCAGCAGATCTTGGATGATGTTACTATGTTACTCAAGTTTGGGTGTTCAACATATTCAACTACTTGTTTTTTTTCCAGGGAAGAGGTGGTCGGTCCGGAGCCTGCACACAAACATCACAGTGGGTTGAATTGAAGCTGCCAAAACATGTTTTTCAATGGTTCTTATAGTTTTTGAATATTTTTGAGATATTTTGAGCAATTTTGAGCAATTTTAAAACACCCTAATACCTCAGGAGATTTTGTTTGACCTGAGTCAGCAAAACTGTGCATCTTCTCATCTTCCAAGATGGAACTGAGGTGCCCGAAGATGATGATGGCAACATCGAGCCGCCAAGGCTTGTTGAATCTGGAGAAACAGATGACCTGATGTACCATCTTAATCCATTTTGTCCCATCTTGATTCTTCATGATTCATCTTGATCTATCTTTTATGCAGGTTCTCCTAAAGGTCCTAAAGCCATGTTTATCATTCTTCCTCCAATTTCTTTTTGAGTTGCTTCGTCATCCAAAGGCCTTTTTTTTCATTTTGTGAATCTTGAATAACACTATGACAATCAAACAAGACGATCTCCAGAAGAATCCACATTTGATTTTCATATCTCCAACCGTTGGGTTCTTGTTCCAGCTTCACCCCGCACCGCGACTTGCCACGCCATGACCTCCGTGGCCTTTCTTCAGCCCGCGGCCGCGGCCCCCGCAGCCCTTGGGGCCCGCGACGCCCGCGGCGTCCTCCGCGGTTGGGAGGCCCCGGGCGATGGAGGGCGCGGCACGAAGGTGAGTTCGTGGATGGTAGGTACCTTGGTTCGAGGATCGTGTTGAAAGTTCGGGAAAGGTTGGGAAACAGGTAAAAGATGGGAAAAGGATATATATATATATAGTAATTATAAGTAGATATGTAGATATACACTGATATACACATATTTTTGACATCGCTCCCGCAAGCTTCTCGTCACTTTGTGTGTGTTGGAGCGTGGCGCTGTGCTTATTTTGACATCGCTCGCGCAATCCTCTCGACATGTCAGATCGCTCTCGTTGTGTCGCCGTGCTTATTTTGACATGGCTTGCGCCGCTCTCTCGTCATTTTGTGCATGTCAAATCGCTCTTGTTATGGCGCGGTTCTGATTCTGTCGAGCAGATTTTGCACAGAGATCTTGTCGAGCAGATGTTTTAATATGTTTTATAGAGAGCTTGCGCAGGGATCTTGACAAGAGATCTCTCACAAGGGACCTCCAAAAGAAACCTTCTACAGAGATCTTCTACAGATAATATTTCGTTCAGAGATCTATACGTATCCCGTTTGTGTTTTGCTGTTGTGGTTGTCAGCAGCTGCAACGTCCGGATTGGCTTGCACAGTCTCTTCCATGACCCGGTTCACTTTTCCATCTGGAACATTGATGAACATTGTATGTAGAGTCAAAGACCTTTGATAAAGATCTGGTACAGAGACCCTGTACAGAGATCTCTTGCAGAGATCTGGCCAAGAGGTCTCTTATAGAGATCTTGTCAAGAAATCTCTTCTCGAGAGCTTAAGCAGAGATCTTATATGAGATCTCTTACAGAGATCTTGGGTGGAAATCTCTAAAACAGAGATCTTGTTCAAAGATCTTGCATATAGTCTTTGTACAGAGAACTTATACAGCGATCTTGTATAGAAATATCCTCCAGGGAACTTGCCAAGAGATCATTGACAGAGACGTGCCACAAAGATCTTGACGAAGGGAACCTACACAGGATTTGTCCCACAAGACCTCCTACAGATATCCTTACAAAGGGATCTCGCACAGGAACTTCTACATAGATCCTGTCAAGGAGGTCTTGCACACGATTTTTCGCAGGAACTTGCAGAATCTGCCCTGGTATTTCGTCATGTTCTTTGCAGCACGGTTTGGGGTCTCTTGCCGGGATCTGTTTTTTAATGGGCATGCGGCATAGTTATGTCAAGCTCACTTACGTTCCTGACACGACAGCAGACGGTTGCGGTTGTCTCTGGGTGGTATCTCAGTGGTTTCTCTGCGGTGCCTTGGCGCTGTCTCGAAGGTGTCTTGGTGGTGCCTTAGTGGTGTCTCGATGGTATCTCGGTGATGCTGGTGGTCTGTTGGTGGTCTTTCGGTGGTTATGCCTTGCAGATATCATACCGGAGTCTTGCTGTGATGTCCCAGTTGTATTGTTAGCGTTTAGCAGGGTTGTATGCTGGGTTAATTCTCTATATATAGAGATATGTTTTCTTGGTAAATCATACAAAGGATACGACTGTTATATCATATCCGGTCATATCCGTTACTACTGTCACCACTATCTAATTGTATAGTTATTACTGTTGCTAGTCCTGTAGAAGTGATGCTGCAGTGCTCACATCACCTGTTCATGGTGAAATATGGTAAAAAAACGGCTATGCATCCCTTCTAAAAGGTGATGGTTGCTTAGGAAAATAGATGTAAACTCAGCAGCAATACCCCAAGATTCGCCTGTTTTGGGGATTACTATGTAAGCATCCCCAACACTTCCCAGCTGGGTTTTATGATATTTTGATGATTGGGTTTATCACATCATTTTGTCGGTTACATTCATTTACATTCCCCATGTCTGAGTAAGACCCAGCTTTAATTCCCCAAGTTAAAGTTAGCCTGGTTGACTAACTTTACCATTTGGAGTTGTTTTTATACCCTTCACCTTACCTCGCCATGTTCATTGTAATTAAATGTATGTAATTGTATGTACCTCCCGTTAATAACAACCATCCCATTAACTATCCCCTAAAAGCGATGTTCGTTCTACATGATAGTAACATTAGATCTCCCAAGAAACATTCCATGAGATCCATCTAACCCTCCCAAATTCCCCCCATGAATTTTCACTTTTCGGCGCGTCCCATGGTCCCAGGTCCCTGCCTGGGCGCCTTGACTCTCCGACATCTCCAGCGCAACCGCAGAAGCGCCGCCCCGCGGGCGCCGCGGGCGCCGCGCGCCCGCGGGGGCGAGGGGGTCACGTTGCCTGAGGAGGATCTATGGATCCAGCGGTTGGATTTGGAGAAGTTTGGAAGCGCAGCTCAGCGAAGATCAGTGGGATCTTGGGTAAACAAATTTACATAGCGAACTGGAAAATCACCATGTTTAATAGGTAACAAAAAACGTCTATAAATGGGCCATTTTCCATAGCCATCTTAAATTACCAGAGGGTAGAGAATTATAACGAGCTCACGTCGCGACCTCATTATAATCATAGTTAGTAGGGGAAATGATCCCCAAATGGCCGAACAATTCAGGTTAGTGAACTATCATAATTTACCCAGATGGATCTTGGGTTTAACATCAACCACATGAACCGCCATGAACCATTAAAAGTTTAACTCACCAGCTATCATTAACCATGAATGGTTTAATATCTATAGACATATATTTTTTGTATATGAATGGTTTATATCTATAGATATCTAATGGATATATCATAAACTTTAACTAACCACCATGAACCAGAAAAACCACTGGGAGTTAATGGAACCTAATGAGAGTTGTACACGTTTTTTTGATGTGGAGTTCTCCCTGGCCATAAACAGAACAACAACCATGACCGGGGTAAACATAGCAGCCATCAAAATTGGTGATGATCCGGGGATTGTTTATGGATGTTTACCAGTTTACCACATTTTTTGCAGTCCAATATGACTCCTTATTGTCCTTACTTATTGGTTTATTATGTGGATAGTTTACCAACTTCATTACCAAACGTCGTGTTTCAACTAACGCAATGGTCTGTTTGTAACGTCAGTAATGTTTGTACGCTCTTTGGTCTCAACCACCATTCAGAATAGTCAATTGGTTGATGTTGCAAGTTCTTAGTCACGCTGTTTTTTTCTATTTTGAGCCTGGTTTTAATATGATTTTATTATGGTTTGTGTTGCCCCAAGCATGAAGAACTATCATTTGGCAGCCTGAGATTTTACTTGGCATAGCATCCCGATGCATCCGGATGCTAAATCCCACCATCATCAAGCTACACTTTGGGGATAATAAATCCCACCATATCCCACCCAGTTAGGTAACAAAAAGGGATGCTACCAATGGCGGTGAATCCGACATTGCTAAGTTCAACGACCTAAGTTTTACGTAATCAGGGGGTGTCTATGTTGCTACGCTTTCCTTTTTTATCAACTGTAGGAGTCTTACTAGTCTTACTAATCATTCAATGTTGCTTGGCATTGGGGTGTGAACCATCTGTGTGAACCATCTAAAATGTTAGAGGGTATGAATCAAACTGTTGAGTTTGGATTGTGTGGTATTGGAATGCATTTTAGGAGTCACATGAGCAGATATTTTGTTGGGTGGCAAGTTGCCGAATTCCAGCACTGCCTTGGAATGGTTCATCCAAAGTGTCTGTTCCAAAGGTTTTGTCTGTCCCATGGTGGTATGAGAAATCTCTAGAGAGGTTGACTATGACATGTCCGTTCTTTATCATCAAAAACTGTGGTCAGATATGATCGAAAACGGTAAACCACGCCAATTTTTCGAGGTGAATGTAGGTGAATGTAGGTGAACATTTGGATGTTTACTGCAGATGTATGGTACTGCAGATGGTGATGTTTTTTGGTGGTGTTTTGTTGGGCGGGTCTCACAAAACCTCCTTGCCAGGAAGTCCATGACTTGGGGCAGAAGTTGAAAGCCTCCCAAGATGCCTGGCCTGGCCATGCCGTGCTGAGTCGGTTTGTTTTGTTGAAACAAAGCCAAGATATGCCAAGATATTGATTCATGTCATCAGGAATTGGGGAATTCAAACATATTCAAACCATGTTTTTTTTTGTTTTTTTGGTGAACTACTTATGCAGTTCCGCGGGTTCTATGGCTGATGAAATCCATAATCATCCAGATGTTATGTATCCAATGTATTTAAACCAAGGGCAAAAAATGGTTCCTTTCAACAAAGACATAAGTACAAAAGACAGTTTTTTGGCCTTAAGCAGTTGTTTTTCACGCGTTTTTTTGGCCCATGAAGTTCAATCAGCTTAGGACCAGAACGACATGAAACATTTGCGCAAGATCGTGCTGTGGAGCCGTCTCTGTGCAGTGATTGGCCTGGGAACTATGTGGATGGCCCCTCCCAATCTGGTCTCCATCATCTTCCTAAGTTTATGGACCCACAGTGCCATGGCGTGGTTACCGCGGTTTCTGGTTGAAGGGCGAAGCTGAACTGGGAATACAGTGAATACATGATACATGTAGAAATATGTAGGAATACAATAATTCAATAGAAAACACTGCAGTATCATAATCATATTAAATACACTTTATTACTATATATATATATATGTATATATATATATATATCATATTTATAGATACTCATGATGTTTTGCTCCTGCAGGTGCCTGGACCATGATGGGCCACCACGCCTGCCACGGTGGCTACAACCGCACCGACGAAAGCGGACGCTTCAGCAGTCGCGGCTTCGCCCTGGGGTCGCTGTGGCGACGCCTGCAGGACTGGTTCGATTGGATGCTACCAGAGGCTTGGAGTATCGAACACAACCAGCTGCATCACTACCGCCTCAGCGAGGCGGGATACTGTTTTTGGATGGGTATGGATCCCGGAGATGTGGAAAAACCATGAAAAAACCATGGGTTTTTCTGAAAAATGAATCAACAATTGGTGGGTTTTCCACATCGTTTGCCCTGGAGCGGTGAACTGAGCTAGGTGAGGGGTATCTCTCTTTTCCCTTCTCCGCATGATGGTTGAGACTGGGAATGGGTGAAGTTGCCGGGAGAATAGGTGTGTTGTTTTGTGATGTTTGGGCCCTTTGAACATGGAGAAGATATGATAAGATACATGCATACAATACCATTACGTTTCGTTACACACGCGCATACAGACATATTAGTTGCCAACACTTGACTTCTTCACAAGGTTTCCAGGCCAAACATTTGGCACAAAAAACTCATGGCTGGTCTTGCTGCTAAAGTCAGTTCAGGGCTTTGCATGATCAAATCTGGTTGGAATCGCAGGTTTTCGGTGGGTTTTTGGGTGATTCGAGGTCCACTGGGAATGAGATGGAGCCATTCAGACCCTGAGCCCAGGATGGAGATCCTGATTTGTTGGAGAGAAATTCTCAGGACTGGAGTCCTATCGAGCGCAGCTGGGTCTTTTTTGAAGTAGGAACGTTTGTAGCCTCTGGTTTTTACTAACAGTTTGCGAACTTGAATATTGCCATTTAGTTCGTTGATTTACCGAAGAAATCGCATGGTGATTTTCCAGTTCGCACAATTAGTTAGTTTACCAGGTCGGGTATCCCCATCAGATCCCATGGCCTGCCGCTGGGGAAAACCAGCGTCAAAAGGTCAACAGATTTCAGTGATGGACCTTTCTACCGTGGGGGTGGACCGTTTCTACATCTTTCTACCAGTAGCAATTTTGATTCCAGCCTACTTTGCATGGTTCCAACTGGCTCAAGTGGCTGTGTGGACTGGTTGGCTGAACCACCAGGCACCCGAAGCAGGTTACCAGGCTGAGGCGCATGCCCATCCCTGTCGCACCAAGGCATGATTATGCCCTTTGTGTCCATGTTGGTGTGGAAATGGGCCTACTACGCCCCGAACACCTACAAGGATGCTCATGGGCTGGGCAGGCCGCCCAAAAACCAATGGGCCCAAAAAACTTGCCATGTTCGATCATGTGTTCGTATCTAACATTACCAACTCAAAATAGCAAATGCCACCAGCAACGGACCCAAAACTGAACCAAGGTTTCGTTTGGGTGGTATTTCATACGGGGGAACGATCAAACCACCGTCATTGTTTTCAAGGACGAATCATTTGAATTTCACATTCCCAAGAGATCCACTGCCCGCAGGAACTGAAGTTGCAGGAGATGAGAACTAAGAAGATCCCATTACCTCAAAACTTTGATCCTCAGAAACCTTTGACCTTGGGTGATTTGGTGGCTGGTGAGGGTCAAGGTGTGCTGTCATTGACGGAACTCATGACGAAGGTCATGGGGCCCTACTTCATCTTTCGCTTCTTCCTGCTGCCCTTGCCTCTGATCTTCTTTGGTCCCGCCTTCTACTTCCATGGGGTAACTCAATTGATGTGGGTCATGCGATCATGAAAGCTGTTTTTTTTTTTCTGGGTGTTCAACGAGTGGCGGATCAGTGGATGGTTTTGGAAACTTGAACTCATATTTGCGCAACGAAAATCCAGGAAATGGATACAACATGATACAACTGAAAACCATTGTTGCCTCAGGGGAGTTTCGTACCTGCAGTGCACTTGCCGTCCCTGAAAATGCAAGTTGCTTAACAACAATGAGGGGGTCAACCAAAGTATGGAAATTACTGAAAAGAATGTGGTAAACCCACTAATAAACCATCCCCAATATCACCAGAAATGGGTGGGCATTGTATAACCATCCAAATTTCAGGGACCCCTTGGGGTCACAAAAACCATGGTGCCCCTGGATCGAAACCGAAAGCAGCCAGGTGTGCAACCTCTTCCTAGCGGACATTTTATCCAACATCCACGGCTTCATAGTGGTGGTGCCCAACCATGCGGGCAATGACCTCTATCGTTTCGAGAGGTCGTGTCGCCCAAAGTCGCCCACCTTCTACTTGCGAGCCATCACATCGTCCGTGAATTTTGATACGGGAGGAGATGTGAATGACTTTATGCATGGATGGCTGAACCCCAAAATTGCTTAAGTTTGCTTTTGTTTTTTTCCACATGGAACATCCACGATTTTGGGGGATCCACTAGGAAGATCCAGGAATGCTTTCTATTTTTTGGGGCCATCTTCAATCCCAGGAACTATCAGATTGAACATCACTGTTGGCCAGACTTGTCCATGCTCTCTTACCAGAAAGGCCAAGCCCAGTTGAAAGAGATTTGTGCCAGACATGGTGTGCCCTATGTCCAAGAGAATGTCTTCATTCGTTTGAAGAAGACTCTGGACATTGCCATGGGCAAAACCAAGATGCGAAGATATCCGGACTCCATGGAGAGAGAGGCTGATATGATGGTTTGGCAAGACCAGAAGGTAGCTGCTTAGACCAGGCTGTCATTTCATGTGCTGTGGGTTGACTGGGATCAATCTGATCCAGAATCAATTTGGAGGTTTCCTAAAATAGGAATGTCCATGGATGCCCCCAAATCATCCATTTTTAATAGGATTTTCCATGAAATAAACCATCCAGCTATTGGCTATTGGGTACCCCAATTTATGGAAACCCCATTTGACCCAGAGCCGTGTCAAAAAATTCTCACGCTGTGGCCAGAAGTTAAATTGAGCTCTCAAAGGTGCCACTGGCTGAAAACCCGTCAATTCCGAAATGCCACCTTTGATACACTTCGGTGTCACACTAGATATCTACAATTTATTGTTGTTCCCTGTGTTTCCTTCAACCCAACTGTAAAAAACAAACATTGTAGAAGACCAAAATACACCAAACACATTTTGCGCAGAACTGGCCATGATCTATCGACAAACCCCTAGAATTCTCTAAAGTTGGAGGTTGGCTGTGCAAAGTGGCTCAGCTTCTTGCCTCCCTTCCTTGGGTTTAACTCCCGAGTTGGCAAATCGGCCGAAAACGGAGAGCAGCGGAGAGCAGCCGAGGGGAACATCCCTCTCGTAATATCCAAGGTTTCTTGGTTATGTCACGACTGTGCATAGGGAATTGCTCGGATTACATTCGGGAAACAGTGGGTATAATCGGCAATTTTTGGATGGTATCATGGAAAATCCATGGGAATCCCATGGGTTTCAGGCGCGCCATGCCCCAGAGCACCACGTGGTGCGCGCAGCAAGGTGGCCCCAGTAGTCACAGGTTTCAGCTCGATGTGAATGATTTCCAGGTTTCCAATTGCGGGGTGTAGTGGTGGTTCGAAGTTATTTGGGAAATGTTGGGAATATGGAGAACCAACTACCATCTGGTTATTTAACATAGCCATGGAAAGATCCACCATTTTTAAGTTCGGTAGTCACCATCTATTTCGATAAATGGGCCATGGCTTCCATGGCGAACTGTGAATGTCATAACCAGATGGTATATCCAATTTGGCATCACAAAGATCAAGATCCAAGATCTTGGAATATCTCGGATGATTTGTTTGCTGATTTGCTGATACATTTGCTTGACAATTTGCAGGTTTCCATGCTATTCCATGGCTTCAATCGTTTTTTTTGGCTGGTACAGATTGTCAACAAACCATTCAAATCCAAACGATCAACCTGTCCGTGAGAAGCCTGAGAATTGGCATTGAAGAATGGGATAAAATGCGGATGTCATGGGATGATATATATATATAGTATAATATATATATATAGTATATATATATAGTAATATATATATATAGTATAATATAATATAATATAATATATATATATGTAGACACGTAACTCACGAAGAATATACTATACAATGATTTGGCATACCTGTGACATCCAAATGATGCAACACTTTTGCTGTTTCGCCAAACACATATTTTTTTCAGGCAAACGGCGATAATTATTGTCTTCTGCTCAGAATTGGATTTTGATGGAATTTTGGAGACCTGCAAGTATCAAAGGAAGTGCACCTTTAGCTCAGCCTACATGCATTCATTGCCCACAAACAATTGCTCACAGACTCATGCTGCTAAAAGTACATGCGAATAGCACCAGTTATCTGATGTTCTTGATCATATTCACTTCTGAAATGACTGTGTGTTAATTCTCTAGCTACCAGGGACAGTGACTTTCTTAATTAACAGAGATACTCTTCATGCTTGTTGCCATTTTCAACATATCAGGCACCTAAATCACCCTTACCAGTCTCATGATCGATCATAAAAACTGACTTGGCACCACACTGCGCTGAAACTACGCAAAACTGCGCTCAACGCAAAACCGCGCTCAAACTACGCAAATTAGTTTGGCAAATTTAGCTTCAAAAAAGTTGATCCTGAGCGTGTTGGCATGACCAAGTCGGTCATCATTCGACACATGTCCCAGGGAGGACTGAATGACATGTTGCAAAGACAAACCCAAACCCAGTTGTTGGTCTTATTTGCTTTCAACTGTAAACCTCTATCAATTTGAGCAGAATGCACATGTCAACGTGCACAAATTCTGTTCTCCTCCAATTGACTGAGTTGGTTGAACATTCCAGCAACATGATGGGCAAATCAAATTTCATGGTATTTTCACAAAGAAGTTTAAGTGCCCCGGGCGCAAAATCCATTCAAAATCACAGAGTTCAAACGACGTTTTTTTTGCAAAACGACTTTTTTTTTCAAAGAACAGGCAATAATTGTTCTAGTTTCACAAAACTACATTTGTTTTTTGCATACCTGGATGTTGCGCTTGTATTTAGATATCTTTGTGTGTTTGAAACTGGAGTGACTCCGAAGTTTCAAACGGAATCAAAGCAAACTTCACCAATGATTGACCATGGGATGGGAATGGGGAACACATTTGGATCTCAGCTGCGTCACTGTATTTTCATGATGTTTTTTTTTTTTTATGTCTTTTAAAATGATTGGATTGAAGTTTCCATGTTCATGAAAATGGTGTTTTTGTAACTCAGTTTTTCAGCAACCATCCGGGCGGGATGCTAGACTCCTAGACATTTCGGAGCTGAAGTCAGGATCCATTGCAGACGGCGGGTGGTAAATGGATTTCACAAAAAGATGCACCCTTTTTCATATCATACTAAATCATACTCTTATATTTGACACATTGATACACATTGTATATTGTGCATGGTTAAGATATATTAGGATACTTGCTGTGATAGATCCTATATCTATCTATATCTACCCTCTTTAACATAACCATGGTATAGATGGCCCATAGAAATAGATGCTTTACCTATTAATAGCATGAGTGGATTTTCCAGTTCGCAAACTGTTAGTCATAACCAGAGGGTATCATATTTGTTGACGTGGGCTGTCGAGATCTGCTGAAAAAAATCGGTTGTCCATCCCCATGGCCACATGGGCACATGGCCACAGGACCAAGTCCCAGATCCACAGGCTCCGGGATCCAGGTTCTGAGGTTTGCAGCGAAGCTTTCGCAACGGGGATCCCTTTTTCAGGATCCGCAACAGCCGCAACGGCCATTTTTCAGTTAGGATCTGAAAGCGTTTTTCAACATTTCTTGGATTTAGCAATTTTTTTGAGCGCCAGAGTGTTTCAAAGATCTACCGATCCAGTCATGTGTTCCCCCCCGGCCCAGTAGGGATTTCTGAACGAAAGGGGAAACCCAAAACCACCAGGTTTTGACCAACTTGCCGCAGATCTGGCCAGGAAAAACCCTGGTGGTTTCACACGTTGCAAAAATTGTCTTCAATAGAAATAGCACACGGTTCAACGGATTTTCTCAGACCAGTTCTTGAACTTGAACCATCTTGAACCATTCAAGAGTATTGGATGTTCTTTGGACCTTTGAATTAAAATGACTCGAAAAAAAATATGCATTTCGTGCTAAAAAATGCCCAGACCTAGCAGAGCCTTCAGCTATCTTCAGCTAGAGTTTGCCCAAAGTCACATCCGAGATGTGAGAGTCGTAAAGATTGTGCGCCATGGCGGAACTGAGTGAAGAAATCAAGGAGGGATATCCAGTTGGTGGGAGCTGAGGAAGGGATATCCCTCCATCATATTCCCAGCATATTCTCCATTTCAACTGGGAGCCAGTTGGAGCTACGAATACAGTATTATAAATGATATTGATATTTATTATAGAATGTCATATTTGTAGATATTATAATACAGTTATCATCCAAAAAATCATCCCAAATTTATACGATGATCTATTGGAATATTACCCTCTGGTTATCTAACATAGCCATGGAAGCCATGGCCCATAGAAATAGATGGTTTACCTATTAATAGCATGGTGATTTTCCATGGCTATGTTAGTCATAACCAGAGGGTAATATAAATTTAGGATGATATGGGATGATATGAATTGGCTTCGAACAGCCTTCGAAGAGACATTCCTTTTTGGGGTGGATGGGACGGCATTCGACCATGGGCCAAGTGAGTTGTAAATCATGAGCGAAATTCAAGCCTTGGCTGGGATATGATACACTAATCATTGGATTGGTTTGTTGGGGAAAATCTACAGGAAACCATGGGTTTTACCATTAAATATGGGGCTTTCCTGTAAATTTTCCCATCATCCAATTCTATGAACTAAGTTGTGGATCATGTGTGAATTCAAGCCTTGGGTGGGATACGAGACAGAGGGAGTCATGAAACAATGTGCAACGGAAACGTGTCTTGGCAGTGCTTCCCAAGTTGGGTAGAAACTCTCCTGAAATGTTTGGGTGGCTTTTCTTTTTTCACCTCTTTGGGCATGTTCGAAACGGGCGGAAAGCTGGGGGTTGAAGAGTCCGAACCTGGGGTATACATACGCAAAATCATGGTTACGGTAATGTTTCTTTTTTCCTAAGAACTTAGGGTCTCGGGACTATGTTTTTCATGGGACAATGATGATCCTCTACAAGGAAAAAGGAGAATCCGTAGCTATTTTGACTCAAGTTTGGCTAGAGATTGTAACATTGAACACGGACTTCTTGAACAGATGCTCCAGCCTTTGGATGTTTCCAGCGTCGAACAGATGCTCCAAGTGACCGCGTCTCTGCCCAGTGGTCGCAGTGCGAGCCTTTCAATTCAGCGGGCCTCCACAGTGGGAGACTTGAAGATGATGGTCCAGGAGTCTTTGGGAACGCTCTTTCTAAGGCTTGTCACCTCAGCTGGGCGCAAGCTGAATCCATCAGAATCTCTTGAGGCTGCAGGACTTCAAGATGGAGACCAGCTCACAGCCGTTGTGGTAGAACCAAAGCTAGCAGCAACTCAAACTGCTTTTGCATTGTGGTGCTGCGGGGGTGACAGAGTTCTGGCATGGGGCGATCCAGGTTCTGGCGGTGACAGCTCTGCAGTCCACGATCAGCTGAAGAGTGTGCGGCAGGTTCAGGCGAGCAGTCAAGCATTTGCTGCCATCTTGGAAGATGGCTCTGTTGTCACCTGGGGCAGATCAGGTTCTGGTGGTGACAGCTCTGCAGTCCACGATCAGCTGAAGAGTGTGCGGCAGGTTCAGGCGAGCAGTCAAGCATTTGCTGCCATCTTGGAAGATGGCTCTGTTGTCACCTGGGGCAATCCAGGT